CAACACAACATGTAAATGATCTGTATGTCTGACTTTATCTCTAGAATACATTAGGATATCGTCAATAAAGGCGATTAAAAAAATATCTAAAAATTGCATGAGGACCCTATTTATCAGATCCATAAAAACCGCTTGAGCATTAATTAGTCTAAATGGCATCATCTCGAATTCATAATTTTCATATCTTGTCTCTAAAATCGTCTTTTCTTTGTCTTACTCTTTAATCCCCAGCTAGTGATAGCCTGATTTTAAATAAATCTTTGAAAATATAAAAACTTGTTCCAATTAATCAAATATGTCATCAATCCTTCATAGTGGATATTTGTTTTTAACTGTAGGCTTATTCAACTCTCTGTAGTCAATATGTACATCCTAAAGCTCTCATCCTTCTATACAAATAATACTAGAGCTAGTGAGGTGCTAGTTTTGATCACGAATAAGTCATCAATCCTTTATCTAACAATTTATGCAATTGATTTTTCAACTCCTACAACTCCTTAACTGTCATTCTTAGGGTGCTTTGGATATAGACTCAGAATTTGACAAGAACTCAATAGTGAAATTAATCTCTCGCACTGGTAGTAGCCTCTGTAAATCATCAAGAAAAAGTTTTGGATATCCTCCTACCACTGAAATATCACTCAAAGACTTCACTTCTTTAGAGAAATCTGTTACCTATGCAAGAGAACTTTGATATTCTCGATTCAACAAATTAAAAGCTTTCAAACAGATAATTATCATGGATGCCAATCCTCTATCACCATATTATTTAATTTCTTCCTCCTCAGGTATATTTATTTTGACAATATTTTTATTGCAATTAATTATTACAAAGTTTTTAGACTACCAATTCATGCCTAAAATCACTTCAAACTCTGCCAAGAGTAACATAATAACTTGTGCATCAACATATTTTTCACCAATCATTAACCTCTCCCGATTAACTTCCATAAAAAATGTCATTTGGCATTCTACTCGATAATATCACAGGCATTAAAATGATAATCAATTGCATCACTTTAATCAGTTTCTCAGCTTTAAAATAGTGTGACACCCCCTAATCAAATAATAATCTTATTGCTCTATTCTGAAGCTACATGATACGTCTGAATAAAACCATTCTTGTGAAAAGATAAGGTTGACTTATTAGCATAATTAAGTTCTTACATTGTATTATGAATGACATGCCATGAATTTATTGATGATTAAAGGTGCACTTTAATTAAAATTCTTAAATGTGAAACATACCTATGATGACGTCAGGGGAGTCAGCTTCTTGCTGCGAAAGTCCATATGCCCTGGGCTGAATCGTCTGCTGGGTTTGATCAGGATTCGACACCGATTCTAAAGATTTAGCTGCCTTCAGTTTGCCAAAGATTCTCTGAAGTGGTGCAGCACTGTTATGATAGGAAATTCCTCGCCATATGTCTTGGCTGGTAGCACCAAAAACAAGTGTTGAATCCCAACATACACTCGCCTATGTGAGACCTTCTAAACTTCACATTTCTTCATCCAATCTGATTGCCAACACTGCTGAATCTGGCCTTCGTGGCACCTATATTTTCTAAATTATTGGACTGCCTACCATAAGAGCTCTCAAGAAACGTTAACCCTTTTGAATTCCTTCTTTTCTAAAAGTCCCTCCTCTGAGTAGCCTCTTAATCCAGCTTAATTCTTTTGGCCATCTCCACCAAAGCAGAGTAATCATCAATCCAAGAGGGGTAAGTGGTTGTTTAATCATATCTTTTAGCTTAGACTCTTGTAAGTGGTTGTTTAATCATATCTTTTAGCTTAGACAAAAGCTATGACATTTATATTATCATTTGAAATTAACTGGGGAGTATACCCTGAAATCATAGTGAGTTTGTCCTGCATCTGTCTCCTAGACTCTTTTCCATTCTCAGCAGTCAGTTTTCAGTATTTATCGGACATTCTCTAGAAAATTGAGGTGGTCTTATATCTTGAAATAAATTTAGTGCTTGTCCATTGGGCCTCCCCCACTAGAACTGGCTCGAGTCTAAGAGTTCTTAATCATTTGAGTCATTTTGATCTTCTTAGCAAAAAACATCTGTATTCATAGTAACATGTGGAGGTGAATCAATTTCTAGTACGTTTTCTCTAACTTCCTAACCTTGATTGTGATTCTTCATATTTTTGAAATAACATAAGAAAAATTATAATTAGACACTATTGAATTCTTTATTCATATTATTCATGAACTAATTTAATTATCTTGATGAGTCTTTTTGATCATGATCCAATCTAATTGATATGATACTACTTTTGTCATGACCTGACTCGATGTCTTATAATTAGACAAGTCGGAACTATGGTCGGACTGTATTAACATCTTACTATCCATAGATTTATAAACTTAAATGTATAAAATAACCACTAAGAAACTACAAGTATACTGTTCAAAAATCAAATCATCCAAAAATAACAACAGAGCTTGTAGACATCTCAATCCATCATATAACCATATATCACTACCCTGAAAAAATTGTATAGAAAAAAATTAAAATCATATCATAACATGGTTATAACCCTCGTGTAAACTCTCTATTGTCAGACATATCAATTTATAGTTTTTTTTTTCTTGAAAGAAACTATTAAATCTAACAATGAGTTCACCACTTAGTGAGCAATTATAATTTTAATATGTATTAAATTTATCTGCAAATGTTATGTATAAATGATCAAAAGAAAATATAGTTTATTACTTTAAAAAACAGTAAACTTTCACTTTTTTTTTTATCTATTATCATTTTAATTTAAGTATTTACTCATTTTAACTTCTTTAATAATCATATAAGATTACTGCATACCTGAATGTATTCTCAAAATTGTGCTCATATGCGGTCTCAAAAATTTGCACAAGGTACACCTTTACTATTTCATTTACTATGCACGAGTATATTGCATCCCTTGCAATTAACATTGAGGGTAATCCTGATTGACTTAAGTTTTTTGCATTTCAATTCTTTTAGTTACTTCCTTTGAAGGTTCATTGAAATCAGCATTTCCCTTTTTCATTTTCACATCATTCATTTCATAAATCCTTTAATTTATAACATGCATTTGATTATAAAAGCATTTTATGAAATAATAAGACAGTTTTTAATTAAATAGTACCCTAATTTAATGCATACAAAAAAATAATTATGTACCTGCTTAAAAAACCTTTGAAAAGTTTATTTCTCCACTTCTTTTGACTGTCACCTATTTTAAATGGATGTGCTAATTTTTAGATAAGAATTTTATTCCTAAAAGGAATGAAATAATATGACTAATTTGTTTAACTATTTATATATTTTGATTCAATATTCTTTTCAATGCTACTTATGAAAATTAATTTCTATATAATGCTATTAAATCTTTACCTCCACTTATCTTCTCCTTGCTCTTTACAAAATCCATTATCTGAAAACCTAATCTTTTGAATCAAATTTTTTTAAATCCCTAATCTAAATCATAATATTAACATTAATACAAAATTAGTAATTATTATAAAATTTTTAACATATGTATTAAAATTTACCCTTACCTTTAAACATATATATTTAAGCTGAAAGTAAATTTAACTTGTTAGTGACTTTCAATTATTTTGAGTGATTACTTATTAGTCATAAAATGAAACTAACCTTGTCTTTTACCGTCCAAATATCCATTCATCTTGGAAATTTTAAACTTCGAGTTCAGGTCATGAAAATTAGTCCATAGGAGCAACTTTTCAAATCGAAGGGTTACATGGTAGGAGCCAAGTTAAAACAGCCGTCTCTTAGATAGATTTGCCTGGTGAATAATTTTAGATTCCATGTAAGGCCATTAATGTACATATCAGTTCCTTAATTAATTGAGATTGTATGATCTCTTAAATAAATTTGAATAAGAACTTGTAAATATTAATGCATAATTTTGGTTAATCATGAGTTTATTTAGGAATTTCACATTTGATTGTGCTTATATTTGATCACTTCTAGGATGGGTGATCTATTTGAGAACTACGAAGAAGACAAAGCCATCGGATTGAGAGTTGGAGTTGCTGCAAATGAGATAATTGCAGATTAGATAGTTGGTACATGTTTTCAGCTATAAATGTCTTTTCTTTCATTTTTTCTATATAAATGCTCTTAAAAAACACAGCATAAGTTTTCCTTCCATTACTTTGGGGCCTTATTATTGAATAATGTATATTCCTTATATTGAATCAGATCATGATTGACCTTGATAAATAGATTTGGGCAATCAGACCTGTTCTACACTTTACTTTGAAGAGTTAAAACGAAATATGTAGTATCATCTTTTCGTATAATTAATTCGTCTTATTGAGGACTGGTCCAGGCCCATGCTGTAAAATCTTTCATGGAGCCATCGGATTGAGAGTTGGAGTTGCTGCAAATGAGATAATTGCAGATTAGATTGTTGGTACATGTTTTCAGCTATAAATGCCTTTTCTTTCATTTTTTCTATATAAATGCTCTAAAAAAACACAGCATAAGTTTTCCTTCCCTTACTTTGGGGCCTTATTATTGAATAATGTATATTCCGTATATTGAATCAGATCATGATTGACCTTGATAAATAGATTCGGGCAATCAAACCTGTTCTACACTTAACTTTGTAGACTTAAAACAAAATATGTAGTATCATCTTTTCGTATAATTAATTCGTCTTATTGAGGACTGGTCCAGGCCCATGCTGCAAAATCTGTCATGGCACTGTTGCAACTTGCAAGTGCCTACTCTGTTGATTAGCAACATGGTCTTGGGATTCTTAGTTCATTGCTTATATTATAGTACGATAAGCGTAAGCATCTCGCCTCTATATGTTGATATTTTATTGCAGTCACTGCTCGCACCATATTTTTTCCACTTTTATGAGTTCTATGTATTTATCGGCAGATTGCAGCTAAAGATGACCTATACAAGACCTAGAAAATACTTTCGTTAAGTTTCTATTATTTTTTCCTATTGAAAGATTAGTCCACTTCTGCTCAGGTTACATGGTTGAAGGCTGAGTTATGCAGATTATTGGAGGAGAAGAGATCAGCTATCCTCAGGTCAGTCTTCTGTTTAACTTATTGTTTTGGCTATGTTCAACCTATATGGAGAACCAATTGCATTAGGGAAAAAAAAGGTAAAGGTGTGTGCTGAATGTAATTTATTGTTTTGGGTATGTTCAAACCTATAGAGAACCAGTTTCATTAGGGAAAAAAGGTAAAGGTGTGTGCTGAATGTAATTTATAAAATCTTCCTTCAGAGCATTATTTTGCATCAAGGTGTAATAACTTGTAATTAAGTAGTAAGAGATCGAAAAGGTTTAGGATAATTAGAATTTACAACTGACGAATTTTTATTTTTGTGGACTCTGTAATTGTTTTGCTAAGTTATATTCTATATGTAAGGTCACTTTAAATTGCTTATCCCCTGATGTAGTTTCTGAGAGCATGTTTTCATCTTCTGTTTCATCCTGGTTTAGTGTTAATGCAATTTAATTGGAGCTGTTATTTGAATTTTGTTTGCATTCTTATCCTGGCTTTCCTTAACTAGTGTGGAAAATTTTAAACATCATCTTCTGCTGAAAATTCAATTCAATGTTTTTGTGTTGGAAAAGCATGAATGCAAATTTTGTTTTTAGTCAAGCTAGTGCATATTATTCCTCTGTTGAAATGCTGGAGGCAGATGGTGGGATCCTGTATGTTGTTTTCTTCGAATGCACAATCTACATATTTGCATCCATCAGGGTGCTGCTGACTGTGGGTTCATTTTTTGTTTTTATTTTCGTATTATACTTTGGTTCTTTACAGGTCTTGATGCTTCAATTTAATTTAACCAACTGAGGATACATATTGTTCATTAAATTCTGTTTTTTTTTAATCTGATCATATTAGAGCTAATGAGTTGGAGGTTGCACTAATGGAGATGATTAAGCAAGATAACAGACGCCTTTTGAGTGCCAGGGTAAGTTCTCATTCACTGTTCATCTTATATAATAGTTTAACACAGATGTGATATTTTGCTGAGCTATTTACACTTGGAATACATATACGTGATTACTTTTATGTTCTTAATGTGATATTTTGCTGAGCTATTTACACTTGGAATACTTTTATGTTCTTATGTTTCTAAGGCTTATTGATACTTCATGGTTTTTACTTTTAGGTTATTGAGGTTCTCCGACATGTCAAATATGTCCTGGTTAACTTTACCATCAGAAACGATTAAGAGATGTTTCTACGCCATTACCTATATAACATTGCTTCATCCATTTCTAATTGAGAAAGCTACCAAATCACAAAATATTTCTTGCCACATTGACCATAAGCATTTCTTCCTCATGAGTGGCTTTTGGGAACTGATTTCAGTGGTAATCTCTGAACCCTGTGAGCTATTGGAAGTAAAACCATCTGAGTACTTGAAGGCAAGGCTTGTGTCAACCTGTAAGTAAAAAAAATTGATGTTTATCGATGGGCAGGATGACCTAGACTTTAGTGTCTCAAGTAATTGAACCGTAAAAGGCACTGAAGGATTTTTTTTCCTTTTTTGTAGAATACATTCAAATTACTGTGAGTTTGTTGACCCCTATACAAGTGTCCCATAAGTTAAATTGATTGGAAGTTGTTAGGACGACAAACAATGAATACAAATTCACAAGAATCGAGGTCAGAATACTTTAATAATGATTGCAATGACTTGAAACATTGACCTGATTGCAATGACTTGAAACATTGACCATTTGTAGAATGAACTTCACAAATACCTCTATAATAATAAAATTGCTCGATAATGGCCATTTCATGAAAAGGATAATGATCAAATTCTGCATCATTCAAATAAAGTTAAAATGCTTCAAAAATCACCGAAGTCATCAAAACGACTATCATTCATGAAAAAAACCACGTTGATGTGTTCGGGGTATCATAGTCTACTGAAGAGATTCCACAATCATGTTCTTTAAATACAATGAAGATGATGGAGATTGGATTCAACACCTGCACAAATTGAAGCCAAATTGTTGTGACTACTGGTGAAATGACTCAGATGATGTCCACTCATAAAACACACGAGTGTGTATGGGGTATCAAAATTATTTAGAGCGGACATTCATATTGTCTAACTTTTCTACCTCAAATTGTGGCAGGAGGAATGAGAAAATGCACATAGAAGCTCTATGAACAAATAAACCAATTTATATATTTAAGTATAATATTACTAAAAATCAAATTTTCTTCCTCTATCCTATCACTGCTACATTTAAAATCCTCCATCTCGTGTCATGGATACTTGCCATAAGCTCATATAGTCTATGTTGTCATCAAATAATAATAATAATAATAATAATAACAACTAATACTGTCTTTCATAACTTACACTCATCCTGATTTTTTCCAAGTCATGGGACAACCTCCTCTCTTCTGCTCCGGGTCAGTACTTGACTCTGCCTTTCTAACACCCCTTTTTATAACCTACTACTCGGGACTTCCATTTATATCTATGCGCGACAACTTCCGTAGGAAATCGTACATGATCTCTCTACTCATGAGTTCCTAGTTCCTCACTACTGCTTACACGGTTATTGCCTCACCCCTCTTGGATCAACTATTCATCCATATATTTGGTTCTCATGCAACCAAATCATTTAGACCCTAATCCGCTTCCTCATGTTTGGCCAAACTCTATTCACTTGCATGCAACCTCTTGTGGATTGTTAAAATTTTCTTTGGAAAATATAAAATGATGTTTTGATTAAATTTATATATATATATATATACATAAGCCTAATTAATAAAAAAAATGGCAATTAAAAGTAAACTTTTAAAAATATTATTTTTGTTTTTGAAAAATGAGATTGGATGGATCTCATTCATTTAATAGTTTAAATAAATGAGCACAACACCACAAATAATGCATATATCCCGAGGAATAGACACATTATTTGGTGATGAGACTCGATTAAATAAATAAATGAACTCATGACATCCGTTTTGGTTTGCGAACTTTTTATTTTGACCGACAAGTTTCTGTATCTAATATTCAAAATTAAATAGATTTATATTATCTGAGTTCTTAAAGCTCCTTATAGAGGCAAACCTTTATTGTTAATTACCTCTCAAATGACTGAAGTCACTTAAG